TGTTCTCTAGACCCTTGATCATTTTAGTCGCCCTCCTCTGGACACATTCCAGCTTGTCAATATCTCTTCAATTGTGGTGCCCAGAATTGGACACAATATTCCAGATGTGGTCTAACCAAGGCAGAATAGAGGGGTAGCATTACTTCCCTAGATCTAGACACTATGCTCCTATTGATGCAGGCCAAAATCCCATTGGCTTTTTTTGCCGCCACATCACATTGTTGGCTCATGTTTAACGTTGTCCACGAGGACTCCAGGATCTTTTTCACACGTACTGCTCTCGAGCCAGGCGTCCCCCATTTTGTATCTTTGCATTTTGTTTTTTCTGCCTAAGTGGAGTATCTTGCATTTGTCCCTTTTGAACTTCATTTTGTTAGTTATGGCCCATCTCTCTAATCTGTCAAGATCGTTTTGACTCCTGCTCCTGTCCTCTGGAGTATTGGCTCTCCCTCCCAATTTGGTGTCGTCTGCAAACTTGATGATCATGCCTTCTAGCCCTTCATCTAAGTCATTAATAACTTTATGACCATTGTGATCTTCTCCAGCTCTATGAATCTATGAATATATACACATGGAGTCTTGCTTGGCCAGCTCCGGCCATTGTGAGGGACAAAGCCTTGCCAGATTGCACCGTGTTGATTTTGCCGCTGCGTCCTTCCGTATCGCGGCACTACGCAAACAGAAGGGCTTTGTGGAAGAAGAACGGATTTAAAAATATGTCTTTCTCTTCTGTTCTTCCACAGGATGTGTGCCCAAGCCAAACACGTTCCTGATAACGCTGTGTTAGGCCCGTTGCCGTTTTCCAGGGCTTATTATTCTCCTGAATGTAACTGAATACACTTTATTTCCAATTCCAAAAAGAGAGAGAGAGATTGGTCATAGACATAGCAGGCAGGTAAACTTCACTTTCTCAGTGTCTTGTCAGTAAATGTATGGGGCCCACAAGCCCTGTTGTACCCTGCTTCAACCCTCAATAATAATAATAATAATAATAATAATAATAATAATAATAATAATTATTATTATTATTATTATTATTATTATTATTATTATTATTATTTGAAACACAACAAGATGAGTGAACAGCAAACAAGATCACTCTGCTGGCTGTTGTATTGGATCACACGTCAGACCCTTCCCAAGTGTCTAGGACTGTGTGATGTATCGGCGAATAATGCGTGCAGATCCCAGTAAGGTGGCCTTCTGCAGCTGCAACACAGCGCCGATTGTGTTTAAGTGCAGGCCAAGGTCTTTAGGCACTGCACCCAGTGTGCCGATCACCACTGGGACCACCTTTAGTGGTTTGTGCCAGAGTCTTTGCAGTTCGCTCTTTAAATCCTCATATCATGTCATCTTTTCCTCTTTCCATGTCATCTTGTTTCTCTTCAATCCTGCTGTCGCCTGGGATTGCAACATCGACAATCCATACTATGCTGGCTGTTGTATTGGATCACACGTCGGACACTTCCCAAGTGTCTAGGACTGTGTGATCTGTCAGGTGATAATGCATGCAGATCCGAGTAGAGTGACCTTTTGCAGCTGACAGGTGGTAATTTTGTCAGCGCCGATTGTGTTTAAGTGCAGGCCAAGGTCTTTAGGCACTGCACCCAGTGTGCCGATCACCACTGGGACCACCTTTACTGGGGATGAGTCTTTGCAGTTCGCTCTTTA